TTTGGTGGGAGCGTGACAAAGTGTATAGTTTAACATACATGCTCATGGAAGCTGGGCGACTAGCTTATTGAATCCCTGCACTACATGCGAAATACTTGCATCAGCAGTCATTATATGGATAGCCTTTTGACCACAACATTTATCTTTGATTTTTCGTGTAGCTGGCAGATTAATAAGAAAATGACAAAAGCAGGGAAATGCATCTGAGAAGATCAACTTAGAACAAACCGCCATATGGGACAAGCTGTACGCGCCATATGGGACAAGCTGTACGCCTTAGTGCATCTAGACATAATCCCCATTGAAACCAGGATAATCGGTATTTAAAGATATCGCATTAAGATTTTGCGACTTTTTTTCATTGGTACCAGCCAGAAATTAAAAATGCCATTCGGTGGAGTTCAATCGAACAAAGGTAGTTACGCAGAACAAAATCAAAGGAATTGACATAGCTCTGCCCGATTTGTGAGAACATATCTGTAACATCGTTAATATGAATCACTTGTAGTACGAACCATACCTATTGTCCTAGTGATGTAGGTAATGTAGAGATAATATAAAAATCCAGGCTGGAGCGCAAAACGCTTGCCGGTGCAATCATGCGTTTTTGCATCAGCTTGAAGTAATTAGGTTAACTGCATAAATGATTGTTAATTGCATGAATCGTAAATTTTGCATAAACGAAAATAAACAATTTCCACCTAGCAGTCGTTTTTTTGAAAATGACATAGCTGTTCAATGAGCACTTTCCCCGCCAAAAATTTAACACGAGGGCCATGCATACCTAAAGGCTGAATTTAGGACCTTTAAGTTGTATTTGGACAAGGAATATCCTCCTAAAATTTTTCTGGTTCCCGAGTTAGCAATTTTCCCGTCAAAATTTTCACGCTCTCATACTTGTGAACTAAATTTGAAATCTTTAGCTCACACATACAGAGAGTATCCCTGCGAAGTTTCAGATCCCTACCTTGTCTGGTTCCCGAGAACACTTTCTCGTCAAAAAAATTTCGTATTTTTTAAAGCTTTTGTACACACCACCCAGACGTGTGCGGGGGACGATATTAAAACGGGAGGTCACACGGGGGTGGGCGCAAACATCCGAAGCCTCAGCCTTCCAGCATTTTTGGTTCTTGAGTTGAAATTGGGCGAGAGAAAGTGCGAACACAAACACACACAGACAGCCTCTTGCCAATATGCGTTTTTACAATACGCATATATGCAAAAAAAGATAATGAACTTTACAGTGGACGTTATTAACATCATGGCAATATAACATTCGTATTTACCAATTTTCAGTACCTACTGGAGGATTTGTGCATCCCAGAAGCGAACATTATACTGTGGGGCTACAGTATCGGTACAGTGGCAGCTGTGGAATTAGCTCTACAAGCAAGCAAGCTGGCAGGCATGATACTATTAGCACCGGTTGCTTCCATAATACGAACCCTCTGCTGGCGCAAGTGTTGCTGGGAGCGAAGTGAAGAGTGCGGTCGATTAGCCGATTGCTGTTGCGACCGATTTAATCTCATCAAAAAGGTCTTTTACCATTTAATCTGCAGAAAGCTGGACTTCCAGTCTAAATGAGCCGAAATTATGAGTTTTTGTATCTTCAATTTTAAGTGGAATAATTTAAGTAGAATGATATAAAACACTGTCACTATAATTTTCCAAACGGGGGAAATTCGGAAAATTGGTGATTTTGCTTTTCTATTCAGATTTATGAATACGTGTTTTGTATTCCAAATTACTGGTCGGTGCCAAATTCGATAATGCATTCCCTTGGCAGATTGGTGAAATCAAGATGCCGACACTAATAGCGCATGGGTTGCAAGACACAATGGTGGCAGTGGAACATGGCATGGCGCTGTATCGTCTCTGTCCAGGGGCTGTGAAACCGCTGTGGATACCCGACGTCGGACATAACAATCTTGAAAACAGTGCTACGCTGTGGCGCCGTATGCGAAAGTTTATCAACAAGTAATGCGCATTTTTATATTAAAATTACTCCAAATGTTTCAGAAGTTTTAAAGATACTAACAATGAATTTCCCTGGCTAGGAGATTAGAAGAGAACAGAGGCCTGAAATCTTCTACGTGTTAATATATGCAGTTTGTTTGGCGCTACTGGCCCACCGTGGAGAGGAACACAGTTGGATTTTGACAATTAATGAAAAATTGGAAGCGCCATTTAGATCTCCCGAATAAGCAGGCCTGTGCGTACAGTGACCCGGTAACTTGTCTGCGCTTCATCTTCCTGAACTGTAAACACAAAAGGGTGAATCGGTGCGAAATGGGAAGGGAATCATTAGTACAGTGCCCCATTTCGCTGCTTTAAAAGGAACAAGTTGTTTACCTGATGTAGGTGAAGAAGGAAAGAAAGAAATGAGGGTGGGTGTTAAAGGAGGCTATAGAAGTAGAAGAAAAGGTAAAACTAACATTAAAAGATATGCTTCAGTTTTTGTTTTTTTCACTGGTGGTTCACCAGGTAACGCCATGTTAGCTTAAATCTATCAATA